GGCTATGCCTTCACCACACACTGAGGCTTCCAATGCTACAGGCTGTGTCTCCCCCTGACCAGAGACCCCTTGGGAGAAGGGCTCCTTTTGCTTTTTGCCAAACACTTAGTATGTAGCTCTGTCCACAGGACTCTTGAGCTAGACCAGGCAGGGCACAGATTGCACTCCTGCAGAGCCATGAGGCCTCCTTTCCAGGCTCTCCCCTCTCCACTAGCCCTGGGTACTTGGAACCCTGAACAGCCTCGCTCACACTGGGTCTATTAGTTCCAGGGCCTAATGAAGGTCACTTGCCTTTCCAGTGAACTCACTAGCCTGAGAGCAGACCCAGCAGGAAATCCGTGCCCGCGTGGGATGAGAGTGTCTAGGCTAGAAGGGCCCCTCGCCTCTGCCTCCTAGGAACCCTCACCCACTCGCCCACCTGTTTCCCACCCACTAGGAGAACTTCTCCCTGGGCACACTCTCCAAATTCCATCTCCCAGCTACCAGTGGGCAGAGATTAGGCACCCATTCAGATTTGACTTCCTAGGGGGATGTTAGGGCTGTTTGCTCTCTTGCTTCCTGCTAAGCAACACCCTAATCTGAGACCTAATAAATGTTCTTAGAAGGGCTTATGTCAAAACCCAGGCCCGGAGGCAGAAGGTATTCAAGAAATGTGGACATCAGGTCAGACAGGTGGCATTGTGGTTAGGGACTGGATCCCGCATGGTCACTGTACCATTTGAGTTCTGGACCTGGAGGCTTGAAAAACACACTAGGGGACATGCGGGTGGTATGGTGGTTAAGGTGGCTGGATTCCCACATGGCTGACCATGGTTCGAGTTCTGGACCCAGTGGTTTAAAAATCATGCCAGGTGCTGGGAACCAGCAGTTAGTGTAATGGCTATGTCTCTGGACTCCCATGTAGTCGACCGCGGTTCGCGTCCCGGACCCGGTGGCTTAGAACTCACCCCAGGTGTGTGTGCGTGCGTGCCCAAAATCCCGAGAGGAGAATGGAGGAGAAGGAATTGCGGTGTGACTATCCCCCCTGGGGGGTGATTTCTCGCTTTCTGTCTCTATGTCTCTCTCT